AATATTAAATATTTATGTAATATATATTTTTATATAATATATATTGAATATATGTCTAATAATATATTACATAAATATTAAATATTTCACGTAATATATATTACATAATATATATTTAAATACTTTATAATATATTAAAAATATATTAAATATTTAACATAATATATATTAAATAATTAATAATATATTTAATATATTAATATTTGTAATATATTTAGTAAATATTATTTACAATATATTTTATAATATAATAAATATATTTATTGAATAATATATTTTATAAATATTTACTAAATATATTTATTTAGTAAATATTTATTTAATATATTTATTTATATAATACATTTTTAATAAGTATTTAATATATATATATAAATATATTACATAAAATGATGTTTGTATATGAATAAGTGAAGTCAAATATTTAACATAAATTGTGTTAGACCAAGTGGCTTATAAGCACATTTTATTTGCTAGTGGTACCAGGTTCAAACCCCCTCTTTGCAATAGTTTTGCAACATTTCCACGTAGGTGATGACTTGGCTCCTGCTAAGTCAAGCTTTTTGGTGACGTGGCCGTTAAAAAAATGCCCCGTCAGCTTTCCGTCTACCCCGTCAGCTTTCCGTTGACGGACGTTAAGTCCGTGTATTAGGTTGCCAAAAATCTAAAGGTTGTGTATTTACTTGCCAAGGTTTGAAAGTCATGATTAAATGGCCAATCAAGTAAAGGTCGTGTATTTTTCCGCTATTAAGCCTATAAAAATTCATATAAAAAAATAATATTTTTATATATTTTTTTATAAATTACAGATTTGGCCCATAGATTAGATTGAAATATATTAAAATTTATTAAATTGCAGTGGAGTCCTTTGAGCTTATCTAATTCTCAATTGAATGCCCAAAAAAATTCAGAAAATTAATTTAATTTTTGAATATAGAGATATGTCCGTTCACTTTACATTGCTCGGCTGTTGGGACTCGACCACTTCCCGCGGCGTCTGATGGAGGGTCTCGACGGTGGTGGCCGGTGGTGGTTGTCTACGAGAGGCGGCGGATCTCGGTGGCTGACTGCGACTGGAGGTCGGACTGCGTCTAGAAGTCGATGGTTATCCTGTTCGCCGGTGTCGGGTGGTGCGCGTCGGTCGCCGCCTTGCTATCGGACGGATCGGCTTTGCCGGAGACGAGCCGCGGCGGTCGGTAGAAGGACAGTGACGAGCTGGTTTTTGAGGAAGAGAGAGAGAGAGAGAGAGAGAGAGAGAGAAGTGCAGTGGAATGGTGATGGCGGGGATACTCCGGCGGCTGTGGTACGTCACTCCAGCGGTGGCGGGATATTTTTTCCGGCGGCCGGGAAGATATGTTTATACGTGATGGTGAGTGTGTATGTATGTGAGAGAGAGAGAGAGAGAGAGGAGAGAGACTCAGAGACGGACGTTTCATTTTCTAATTTTCTTTTTATTTTTTTTATACAGACAGACTGGCAGAAGATGTGCGGGGTGAGCCCATTAATGTGGCTAGTTTATGAAATGTCTAAATTACCCTTAATGTGAAGATATAATTTTAACTTTTTTTAGCCATTAGATCATTCGATAATTTGATAATTTTTTTTAAATTTGCAAAAAATCTCGTTTCTATAAATTAATTAATCGTTTATGGTATAAAGTTTTTAACATTAATAAATTTGATTTTGTGTAAAGTGAGCGGTTTTATTTGAGGTATCTAATGACCATTTTTATATTTGATGAGAAATGTGTTGTTATTAATAAATATCTGAATTTATGGTATAAAGTGGGCGATTTTATTTTGGTATTAAATGTCCGAATTTAAATGATATAAATTTTATTTGGTATGGATAGAAGTGTATTTAAAAATCTGAAAACGAAATAAGTGGTATGAATTTTGTTTGGTATGGGTATGAAAGTCGAATTTTAGGTTGATTTGTTTTAAAATCAAGCTGAAAATAACTTGTCAAATTTTAGTATATTCCCATAATAACTTGCATAAGATATTGATGATAATTCGAAAAATTGGTAGTATTACTCTTGAAAATCATAAAGATCATTGAACAAATATTGGTTAATAAAATTTAAAATTTGCAATTTAATTCTTTAGACTTAGTTGATAAATTTAGGTAACCGACAATAAATCTAGAAATTTTGCGAGATAATATAAAATATATATATATATATATATATATAATATAAGAGAATTTATTGTGTAGTCCAAATTTGGGTTTCAATTTTAAAAGTCAAATAAGTAACTATTCATAACTTATGGGTCAATATTAACTTGGACATAATGGAATGATCAAGTATTTATAGTTTAATAAATTACTCAACTACTTAAATTTTTTAATTTGGATAGTTTATACAAAAATAAATTCATTTTCAGTAATGAAAAAATACAAGTTTTATAATTATACTTAGAATTTTTGAATAAAAAATTTAAAATGGCAGTTATTTTGAAATGAATATAGTGTAATTTATTATCAATTATGTGCACTGTACGGGTTGTGTACAAATTTTAAATAAACATCTTTTGTGTAATTTTACAAAATTTAAATTTCATATAATATTTTCAATAAATTAATATAGGTAATTGTATTACATATTGATTCCGTATTTTTAATTTATAAATATTATTTAATGATCATTTTTAATTTATAAATATGAATAAATATCTCTTACCCGTGCATCGCACGAGATTCGTAATAGTTTATTTGGTGTCTTAACCAAATGTGCTATACATGCAATTTTTTTATTATTCGTATAAAAATATATCCATCACTATACACGACTCTCATCATATGGAATAATTACATAATATATTTAATAAGATATCTCACAAATATTTATATATCATTCTGGCTACACGCACACACATATATATAAAAACTAATTTTTTTTTGGAACGATAGAGATTTTATATAAAGGCACAAATGTGCAAACGAACAACCACCAGCTGAAAACACGCAGCCACCAGCTGAATAAAATTGGGAGGACAAGTCGAAAGATCGCCTAGAACCGACCCTAACAGGGTAATGCCCTAACAACGCAAAGACACAACACTAAAACGACCCCAACAGGGTAATACCCGAGTGTGTGGTCCCAACAGGATAATAATTCACACTCGGGCTAACCGAGGCCAACGGCCCAAACCTAAAACAAAAAAACTAACACAATCATCAACACAAACCACAAAAACCAGAACAAACAAACGGAAAACACGAGAAACAAAAACAACTACACACTAACAACAAAGCTTCCCTCAGCAGATACAGCCGAAAAGGACATCAGACAAAGCCGATTCTGAGGAGAGCTCCGAAGCTCCGATACCATGCCCACCACTGCATAAGGCCTAGCAAGACGATGACCCAAGCCTAAAAAGACAATCTGAGAAACCGACCTGCATTCCAGCCACAAGAAGCCACTATCTCCCCCCAACCAGCTAACACCACTAGCCGATCCGACACCGTCCCGAGACCGACTATCACCACAAGCCTACTCCCAAAAACAGTCGGCCGCCCACGAACTCAGGAACCGAGAAAGGGGAGGAAGGGGTAGAAAGGCGCCAACGCTCAGCCGCTTCGACCCTGCCAGAACAGAGTGACCTCCTTTCAACCCAGCCGTCAAGGATTAACCCCGACCCAACACCCCTGCACAAACAAAGAGCCGACGACCCGACCCCGGCAGAAACCGAAAAAGCAAAAAAAGGCATACCTCCAAGCCGGGCAAGAAGAAAAACCCCAACCAAAGCCGACTCAAGCAACACAAGCCTCATCCACGCACCGCCGCACCCCGCCGAGCCTCGATACCACTGAATTTCGGCGGCCATCGAGTGGAAAGAGAATCCGCTAAAACCCTAGCCCTTACCCAGTGGCGTCAGGAGGAGGACGAGAGTGCCGCGGCCATGGATGAGTGGTGGAGGCCGTCCACCGACGAGCACGAATGACAGCTGAGGGAGCACAATCGGAGCGAATTGATGAACGCCAAGGACGAGCTAAATTGGGGATATGGTCGCTTATTTTTTGTATCTCAAAGGAAATATATGTGGAGAGTTAGTATTTATTAATTTCAATGGTTAATAAAAATATACTAGACTTATTTAATCATGAAACAATGATCAAATAGAATATTTTAGAATATTATAGAAAACATATTCAACTTCCTAGAATAAATTATTTGGTAAACTCTTGAATAAGATTATATTATATTATAAATAAAATAATATAAAATAATCAAATAATACTGATAAGAAAAATGAGAGATAAAAATTAAATTAATATCAAATAATTATGATATCTATATATATATAATAAGAATTAATATTTACTAAAAATAGTAGCAAAAAATTAGGTCAGAATTTAATGCAGCCTATAAATAGTAAGTTTTATTATTTTTCTTATTTTTTTCTTTAAAAATCATACAACATTAAATGCTACCTTAAATTTCGGATTTTAGTTCATTTTATTATATAAAAACGGCTAAGATTTATTAAGTGTATATATTTTTATTTTTATTTTTTTCTTAGAAACAACGAACAACATTAAAATCTCGGTCTCTATATTTATAAAATCTTAATTCAAAATATAACAAAAGTTTTAGAATCTCGGTTTTATATTTATACTTTTAAAAAAATATTGAACGCTGAAACTATTCTTTAAATTGCATAATCAATCAATTAATCTTAATTTTTTCAAAATTGTATGTTTATTTCTTATTAAAATGCATAAAGTAAAAATAATTAATTCATCTTCAAATATATAATTTATAATATTAATATACTATCATTTGGTATAGACATTTATTATATGAATCATAAAATATTTTTATTTCATAAAATTCAATATACTTAAAGAAAATAAGAAATTTCTTCGGATCAAGCAGGTGATTTAATTAGGGTACTGCCAGGTTGATTGAATTACTTTTAGGTGATATTTAAAATAGTTAAAAAACTTGACACCTCTTGGTTGATCCCAGGTGACTAAGTTATGTATCCGTTCGACCACACCAAATCGATTATTAAACCTAAATATAAATTTTATATTAAAAATATTTTATTACGTTAATGTGATGTAGTCCAAACTTCAAATAATCGTATTAACATTACTTTTATGACAACATATTTAATGATTTATGAATATTTATATATCATTTTATTAATATTTATGTGAATTAAATAATATCTTATTATAATATTTATTAATGTACAATAAATATAAGGTTTTTAGAACTGGACCGTCATCGAAATGATCAAGCTATTCTATTAAATCATTTGTGGTTTGATCAGAATTTAATTTATAAATATTTTAATATATATATGTATATATATAGTACTTTTTGTAATAAATTTAAATAAAATGTGTTACTTAGATATCTAAACAATTTATAAATTCACATATTAAACTAATTGATAAATAATTTATAAATCTCTATTTTATTTAAATATGTAATTTTATTTAAAATAATTTTAAATATAACAAAATTTATTTAGAAAATCGTATCGATCTTACCAGTACAACCGACTGGTGTTGACGGGTTCGAGAGCAAATATTTTATTCAAGCGAACTAGACTGATTATAAATCGGTTCTCGGTCCATCCGGTCGGAATGTGTCCAACCTGGTTTAATTTGAAAACAACGGATAAATCATGATTAATATTATTTATATATTTAATTTATAATAAAATCGTAATATTGTTTTCCCGTGCATCGTACGGGCCTCACACTAGTATCATATAACAACTTACGATTTATTTCATCATTAATTCAAAATTCATTAAAATTTTAATAAAAGTACTCGTCTATAATCAATAAAATCTTTTTACACAGTTGGAGCCATTATATCGCATATTCTATCGTATAATCATTTCGTACTTGCTCAAATAACTTGACCTCTCTGTAGCCTAATAGTTTATCGCATAGTGAGATCGCACTTGCTCGATTATCTTCGTCTTTCTTACACATAGTTTATTACATAATGAGATCGCACTTGCTCAATTAATTTCAACTTTGTGTCGCATAGTTTATCACATAATGAGATCACACTTGCTCGATTATCTTCACCTTTGTGTCGTATAGTTCAACTTGTTATTTATTTCGCACTTTATCAATTATCTTTCGTTTGTCTGTCGAGTATGTTATTGCATAATTATTTCGCACTTTATCAATTAGTTCGCCTGTCTGTCGCATAGTTTATCGTATAATAATTTCACACTTTATCAATTAATTTCGCCTGTCTATCGACTAATTTATCGCATAGTTATTTCGCATTTTATAATTAACTTCACCTAACTGTCCCATAATTTTCGCACTTGATCGATTATCTTCGTATGTCTGTTACATTTTTTATCGCATAAATTATTATCACTTTATCAATTATC